TAGGGCTCCTGGAGGAGAGGGTACACTCCCCCACATTGCCTACCCAAGTTCAGTCAGATTCCTCTTCCTGGCTCTGGAATCCCTGGAGAGTGGGCTTCAGTTTCTCTTTCCAGATTCTCCTCTGGCCCAAGAGCAACCCTGTATGTTCCCAGGCTCTAGTCACCTGCAGGATCCCACCCCCATCTCTACTATACCAGTCCTTCCTGTCTTTGAGGCTGAGCACTAACACTGCCTCCTCCAGGAAGCCTGCCCAGATTCTCCCCACCCCCAAGCCAGATGTGGTCTCCCATTCTTGTCCATGCACCCTCAGCACTTGGTGTGTATGTCAAGGTGCCTCCCTTTATGTATATCAGAATTCCTCCTTTGCCAGCGGTGGAGACTACCCTGCTCTCCTTGACCTCATTCCTAGGCATCCAAACAAGATTTTGCCTGTTGTGTGTAGGTGTGGATTAATTTCAATGGCTCACTGATAAGGAGGAACATCTAGGCAGCCTTCCCTAGTGTACTGCCTTCCGTATGTCTAAGCCTCGCTACAACCTTAAACGGCACCAGCCATGTAAGTCTCAGAACCTCCTTAGGAAATACATACTGTATGTTTCATTAATTTCAAGGCACACTTTTTTTGTTTGTTTTTCTGCATTTTAACCCCTGAAATGGTTCTACATCTAATGAATGGGCAGTGGGTATTCTTAACAGTGTATAAAATAATGCTCCCTTTCCATTGAGTCCACCTTAGATTTGATGACATAAGGTATTATCCCCATTTTGTAACTGAGAAACTGTAAGCACGTGAGGTTAAGCCACTCCCTCGGGGCACATAGCTGTGTATGAAAGTGCTTTCATCTCGGGGCCGTATGGTGGGCTTGGAATCCAGGTCTCACAAGTGAGCAGCCTCCATGAAGACCCACAGCAGTCCTGCCACCTGATATTCGTGTCCTCGTTGGATCCCCTCCCTTGAGTACTGGCTGGACCTGGGGACTCGCCTTGAAGAAACAGGATGCGGCATACGTGATGGGAGGTCACTTCTGAGATTAAGTTTCCGAAAGACTGGCTTCTGCCTGCCTGCTATCCCCGCCCTCCCATTTGCTGGTGCTAATTGAAGCCACCTGCCACATGGTGAGCCGCTCTGGGGAGAAGCTCCCGTGGCAGCAGTCAACAACCCACAAGAAACTGAGTCCCTCAGTGCAACAACCTGCAAGGAACTAAGTTCTGCCAGCAACTGTTAGAGTGGCCTTGGAAGCAGATCCACCCTGCACTGAACCTTGAGATGACTGCAGCCCCCTGACTGGGGCCGCAAGGGACCCTGAGCCAGAGGCACAGCTGAGCCATGCTTGGGTTCCTGACCCACAGAAACTGAGGTCATGCATGAATGTTGCTTTGAGCCACTAAACTGTGGGGGAATTTGTTCTGCAGCAGTAAACAATTATTAGTCTCCAGCATTTAAGGCTAAGTATTTACTCTCATGTCCTGAGGGCAAGAAATGGAAAAGATGATGTCCTTGCCTGCAAGGGGCAGCCAGCTGTTACTCTGTGTATTTGATTGGCCAGAGAGGAAACCGCCGGTTGGGCTGGCTCCCTGGGGAGGTATCACACTGCAGGGTCTGGAGAGGTGAGTAAGAACTCTCCAGGTGAGAAAGGCTGGGAGGCGGTGGGAAGGGAGGACGAGAACACAGATTTCTCCTTGTCTTCAAGGGACGTGGAAAGTTGTAGAATTACACACTTGGCAGTGAGACAGGCCAGTAAGCCAGGACAAGCAAAATAGGGAAACTGAGACAAATAGCTGAACAAAATGTCCGAGCAACTTACAGCCAAATACAGAAGGTCACCTCCCTGGAGACAACATCTAGACCTCAGTGGTATTTCAGCTCCAGGCCCAGAAAAGCAGCAAAACCAGGTGGATGGCGCCAGGACCAGATGCAATGACTAGTGACTTCCTGCTCTGGCGCTGAGCAATCAGTGGAGACCACAACCCTGAAAGGGCGCATCTGGAGAACTGATGCATGTTCTGCTGAAACCCTCCCTAAGATTCCCACCTATAAGAGAGAAAGAGAAAAACTCAAGACAAAGAATCCAGCGTTCACTCTTTGAGGAGCTCATGCCATTCCCTTCCCCTTCTTCTTCCCACCCAGGGGAGCAATGGGCTGCGGCAGCTCATCCCCGGCTTACCTGCTGAACCTGTCCCCAAGGCCCCCCTCTCTCTGACTTCCCATGGAGCTAAGGCAGCACAGCCTACGATCTTTCCTGTCGCTGCTTCTATGCTAAGCCCTTCCTTGTTTTACCATCCCCAGCTTTTACTTTCTTTTCTTAAATCCCCACAAAGACATGTTTCCATGGATTTTGAGAGAGAGAGAGAGAGAATCATTGGTCAGCTGCCTTCCGTGCATGCCCCAACTGGAGATGAAACTCCTAAACTTTCAGGGCGCACAGAACGATGCTCCAACCAATGGAGCCATGTGGCCAGGGCTGTTCCCAGCTTTAACAAAGGTATCCTCATAGTCACCTGGGCTTGTGTTGTGAAATCTTTCCTACACAAAGTCAAGAGCCCACACACTCCTGGCTGGCCTCAGGCAGCCCGCTCAGGGCCCGGTCCCCTGTCTGCAACAGCAAGAGGGCATTCAGCAGCTGCCTGCTGGGCAGCAGGAGTGAGTGATTCACACCCAAGGCATCTCAGGAGTGGGTGAATCAGCAGGCTCTTCCCAGCCCTGACTTTGGGAGGGGATTTGAGTTGCTATGCTGAGGTAAGGGCATTGAAGATTGCGTAATGGTTTTGTTGCTTTTTAACCAGGCACAGGAGTGGCTAAGGGTGTGGTCAGGGTTGGAATGAAGAGGCTTGGGCATGGCTCAGTCCACCTTTGGGACGGGCTGGGACAGAAGGCCGGGGCTCCCTTTCTCCTCTTCACACTGGCCCTGTCTTAGGTCCTCAGGCTGGCCCTGAGCCTGGAGGATATGAAGAGCCCCTTCACTCAGGGAGGCCTCAAAACTGAAAGAGGGAACACAGCAAGGCCAGGCCCAGGGAGGGCCCTGGGAGGAGCCAAGAGTGGCAGCCAGCACTTCTTGGACCCCAGACAGGGGTCCCTTGTGCAGCAGCCCAAACACAGAGGAGGTAGGACCCCTGGCATCAACTCCTGCCCTTGCCACCAACGCGGGCAGGAGAGTGGAGCGGCTGAGCGTGGGCTCTGCGGCCAGGCTGACCCAGGCAGGCGTCCCAGCTCTGCCACCTACTGGGCACACTCACTCACCAGGTGCTTAATTTCTCTGAGCCTCGGTTTCCTGATCTATAAAAGAAGAGAGATAACAATGCCCGCCTCATTGGACTATGGTGATATTTAAAAGAAATACATGGAGGAACCAAGAAAAATGCTCAGACAATAGTGGCTAAAACAAAAAGCATGGACCAGATGTGTGAGGTCCCTTTCAGTCCTCACATTCTATGATCCTGTGGGCCTGCTGGACAGCTGAAGGACTTTCCTCTTGCCCCAGTCTTGGGAGAAAGAGAGGCTCCTGGTAGGTAGTCTTGCTTTCAGAGGCGTTGCATCAGTTTCATTTGATTTTCACAACGAGCTGTTTTACCGACCAGACTGAGAGGGATAGGGGTTGGCCCGGGATGATGAACATCACCAACTCACTTTCACTGGGCGCCCGCTAAGCACCAGGCCCTGTGTGGGCACGGCGTTCCCATATTTAATCATCTGTCCAATGGTGGGGAAAAGGTGGAATGTCCACTGTAGGGAGAAAACATTTTCAGACCAAAAGACAAGCAAGCAACTCCATAGAATGTAACAGAATTTATTATAGGGTCATGTACTCTTGGGACGATGGGGCTGAGCAGAAAGAAGGCCCAGCAGTTCCAAGCAAATTATTCTCCTCTAACAACTCCTGTGGCTACACTGTGTTTAATAATGTGACTCAGGTACTATTGATTGACAAGAGAAAGAAAGTGACAAAGAATGCGGTAGCCCCAGTGGAACTGTCACCAGTTTGATATTCATTCTGGCCATTACTAACAAAAGTATTTATGGTATGTTATGTTTTAAGGGACACAGATCATCCTTCATTAGAAAGCTTTGATGTGTTTCCTGAGGACAATGGTTGGTTAAAGGTCACAGCACGAAAGGACACAAAGACAGAGATGGTTTTTGTTCACGTCTATACATCCTCACAACAGTTTCCTGAGTTATTTGTTCCTGTTACAGCTGAGGAAATAGGGAGAAGTGTCCCAGGTCTCCCAACTGCAGTGATAAAGCCTCAATTCCCCCAGAGGCAGCTGGTCCTCAGGGACTGAGCTCCTGACCCTGTTCTCTGCCAGAAAATTAGGGGCTGAGCTAGGCCTGGAAAAGATCCAAGTCTCCTGACTCCCAGCCTAGAGCTGTCCTGTTTCTTTTTCCAAAAATTTGTAATTGTAGTGAAATGCACAAAAACACAAACTTACCACCTTAGCCATTTTTAGGTACAATTCGGTAGAGCTACATTCACATTGAGCTACATTCACATTGTCGCGCCGCCAATCTCTGGAACTTTTTCACACCCAGGGCTCCGTAGCCATTAAACAGCTCTCCGTTCCCCTCAGCCCCCAGGAAGCACCGTGCCACTCTGTCTCCGTGCGTTGACTTTTCTAGGTTGGCGCTGTCCTGTTTCTTCAGGTTCACCTCTCTGTTGCTGTTGAGTCTGTTCTCGCGTTAACAGAACAGGTTCGGACAGCCAGGGCTGCAGGGTTGCAGGGGAGGCCAAGCCCCGCAGGGAGGGTGTGGTCAGGGAAGGCTGCCTTGAGGCGAGGGCTGGCAGCGGGGGCAGGGGGCGAGGCCTGCACCCTTTGCCCTAGGTGGTGACTCAGGGATGCTTGGCCCCTGTGGCCTGCCCTTTGGTTTATGATGGCCACCTCAGCAGTGCCAACCTTTGCCCCCAAGGGAGCTCCCGTCAGATGAGTGGAGGGACCAGGCCACCTCAGAGTCCTTTGACTTGCCAAGGGCCCAGAGCAGTCCTCTGCCTACAGCCTCTGGAACGATGGGGACAGGGCAACGCAGCCAGTCCTTGCGGGAGCGACGGCGCTCCTACGGCAAGCTCCAGGAGCCCTGGGGGAAGCCTGTGGAGGGCCAGCTGCGCCGGGCGCTGAGCCTCAGACAGGATCGTGGGAAGTCCAGATCCTCAGAGGGAGGCCCAGAAAGGCTGGACTCTGCTGATCAGGAGCGGCAGCCGGGAGGCCTGGGGGACACGGAGCAGCTGATCCAGGCTCAGCGAGGAGGCAGCAGGCGGTGGCTGAGGCAATATCAACAGGTCTGATGGAGGATGGGTGGATGAATGAGTGCTACAGGGGGAGGGTGGGGACTCCTGGGAGAGGCTCAGTGGCTCAGCGGTAGAAACCTACAGGGCCAAGGATCGAGAAGACAACAGAGCTTTTTTTTATTTTTATTTTTTTAAATGAAGCTGGAGAGAGAGGTTTTCAGGAACCATATTTCAGAGGGCCCTGACAGCATTTGGAATTTATCCAGTAGGCACTGGAGAGTCCTGGAAGGGTTTAGAGCGACCCGTGTTATAGTCAGAGCTGTTTTAAGATCATTAATCTGGCAGCGTGGTGGGTGGGTGAATTTTGCTGGAGGCAAGATCAGCCAGCACAACTTCCCAGGGTTATATCTTGTGTTCCTCTTACCCGGGAGGGGGGAATCCAGCCCCACTTGGTGGGAACTGCCCTCCTGGCCCCCACCTCCTCCTGCAGAAGAAAGGATCCCGTGGTGCTTCTGTCTCTGGGGTCTACCACCACCTCGTGGCTGTAGGTGGAACAACACCTGAAGCCCACCATCTGCCAGGGGACCTGTGTCCTGATCTCCTCGGTGCTCTGTCTCGCAGCAGGTGAGGAGACGGTGGGAGAGCTTCGTTGCCAGCTTCCCGAATGTGACCCTGAACCGGCCGACCTCCTCGGAGCCCCCTCTGGGCACCACCAGCTAAGGGTGCTAGAAGCCACGGTGGCCCCTGCTGTACCCAGACGAGAGGGCCATGTCTGCTGACCAGCCTCTTCGTGGACTGGCCTTACCTGGCCCTGTGACCTCTGCCACTACCTCACTTGAGGGCCTTGTGTTGCCGCTCCGCTCTGGTCTTCCTCTCCAAGGCTCTCGCAGCTACGACCCCAACACGGCTGAGAAGAAGGGGGCACAGCTCTGCCTCCTGGTAGATCCTGCCCTCTGGAAAAGTGTCATGGGGTCCCCCTGGACAGTGACATGTATGAGGGCCTTAAAAGCCTGCCCAGAAGCGGGGGTGTCGACGCTGCGGGTCCCCACACAAGACCAGTCATACACTTCCAGGACAGAGCTCAGTGAAGCCAGACTGTGGCAGAGAGGCTCTCAGGCCTGCCTCGGCCCGGGCCATGCCCCTGCTGCCCGCCCTCCCTGCCAGCGGATGGTGGTGGGTGGGGCATGGGCCTCCCGCAGAGCCTGTGAACCCCCTGAGGGCAAGGAGCTGCTCTGGGGCCTGAAAGGCTTAGGCCCGGATATTGTCACTTTGATCCTCCCAGTACCCCAATGAAGAAAAAAGGGGAAGCCTTCCCTCCCCTTGTGACAGAGGGGAAACTGAGGACCAGAAGCGGGGTGATTGCCTTTGACATCTCTGGCCTCACACACCGAGTTTCCAGCACTGGAGTGGAGGGTAGGAATACAGACTGCTGAAATGAAGTAAATGATTTGCCTAGTGACTAACTCGCCTTTCCCCGCCCCTGTCGGGGGCAAGCCTGGCCCACAGCTTCCCAGAATGGAGGGCAGGGGCACCAGGGGCAAGTGCCCCTGCCCCAACCTGGCTCCCTAAGGGGCTGCATCTTTCCTGCCACTTCTCTTGACCTCAGAGCAATTGCCACCTCACCCTGTGCTGGCTCCAGCCAGCTTCAGAGGACCTGGCTGTCACCTGCATCTTGCCTTTGTGCTCTGCCCTGTAGGGCAGGGCTTACTCTGAAGCTCCAAGAGGGAAGTGGCTAAACCCAAAGAGCCCGAGCTCTTTGAGACACAGTGGCACTTGGTGGGTGGTCCCTGGGATTCTTTTGGTTCAAGCAAACCCAAGTTCAAAGGGGAGGGAGCAGCTGCAAGTATCCTGGAACAGGTCTGTTCTGGGGCGGTTGGGGGAATCGAGGGTCCAACAGACAGAGCGGAGGCTCCCTGTTTCCCCAGAGTCCAGGACCTTGGCAGGGCCATTAAGGAACAAGAGGGGTACTGGGAAAATTTTGTCCCAGACAGCCACTAGGATCAGAGATGGGGACACTGGCTTAGAACCTGGGCTGTGGGAGCTGACCAGAAGCTTCAAGCTCAATTAGTCACAAACTTTAGATGTCCCCTGCCCAGCGCCCTCCTGCAGTAACCCCTGGGGTGCCTCTGAGGGGCCCAAGGCACCAGGGAATATCATCTGGGCCCACAGCTCTGGCAAACCCTCTGCATGTCCAGGGAGGGAAACTGAGGCCCAGAACGGGGCAGGAGCTCTCATCTCTGCCCTGGAGGGCCATCCTGGCTTACTGTCCCCAGGGATTCTGCAGCCTAGCACTCTGCTGTTCTTCCATACGTTATGCTCTGTGATCAGTTTGTCCAGCTATGAGTTTTTGTCATTCACAGGACAGCTATTTCCCTGGGGACCCGGCTTGCTCACCGCTGGGACCCCTGTGCCCCGCACAGGGCCTGGCACATTGTAAGAATTCTGTATGTGGTTCTTGAGAGAATGAGAGACTCAAAGTCACTCACTGAGTTGGTGGCTGATCTGGGCCTGGGGGGCAGGGGTCTGGGGGCTTCCATTCAGACAGGACATTCAACCCCAGCCTCAGCGGCGGCCCCATCACCAGGGAGCACATGTCCAGGGCCGTCAGCAGAGGTTTCACCAAAACACACATGGACTCTGACAGGTTGTTTTCAAAGATGGCCTCGACCACCCCTCCCGTGGTGCGTGCCATCTTGCATTATGTTTTTGCCATACCTCCCATGAGACAGGCATTCTGGGTGGGCCTTGCGACCTGCTTTGGCCAATAGAATGCAGGATAATAGTGTCCTGGGCCCTCTGAGCTAGGCCCTAAGTGGCTTTACCACTGCCTTGGGAAGGAATCCAGGTAATCCTGCCAGTGGGTTGGACGGTGGCCCCCAAACACATAGGACCATGTTCTAATCCCCAGAACCTGTGAATTTTACTTACTTGGAAAAATGTCTTTGTAGATATAATTACGAAGGTCCTTAAGATGAGATCAGCTTGGATTACGGCGGGGCGGTGGTGGGGGGCCTAAGTCTAATGACAAGTAACCATATAACAGAGACACACAAAGGAAAGGACACAGGAGGGAAGGCCATGTGAAGACAGAGCCAAAGGTTGGAGTGATGTAGCCACAAGCCCAGGAAGCCAGGGATGGCTGACAGTCCCCAGAAGCTGGAAGAGGCAGGAAGGACCCTCCCCTAGCACGTCCAGTGGGAGCTCAGCCCTGCCAGCACTTGATTGCAGGCTTCTGGCCTCCAGAACCACGGGAGAATCAATTTCTCTTGTTTTAAGCCACCGAGTTTAGAGAATTGTTACAGCAGCCCCAGGAAACTCATATAGTGAGTTTGTGATTCCACCTGGCAGACTGTGGCCAGCTGTTCACCAAACCTGGACGTCCCAGCAAGGTACTTCCCAACCCTCCTTGCAGTTGAGTGTGGCCGTGTGGCCGAGCTCTCCCCAAGGACAGTGTGGGCAGAAGTGCCAGGCACGCCTCGCAGACCCAGTCATGAAACCCCCTTGCCTCACTGGGCAGCCTGAAGCAGAGGGTCCAAGGGGACCCCATCCAAGGATGGAAGTGACACTGAAGCAAAGCCCCTAGGTACCCATGTAGGCTGCTATTTGAGTGCAAAATAGACCTCATTGTGTTAGGCCACTGATTCAGGGTTGCTCCAGCCACAGGCCTATCTCAGCTTATTCGATGTGTTTCCTCGGGAGACTGGAAACTCTGAGGGGGCTGGACGATCCTTTTCTGGCTCCCGCGAGCGGTTCACCAGAGACAGTGCCTGCCTCGCCGCAGGTGCACAGGAAATAGTTGTGAAATGCCTGAATGCGCTGAGGCCGAGACCTAGGGGGTGAGTGGCAATGAGAGGCGGTAAGTCTTTCAGGTGGAGCAAAGGCCTGAGGCCAGAGGGAACACGGAGCATTTAGGAAATGCAGAGCATTCCAACCATCCAGGACACGCCAGATGCCCCTAGCTCAGGCTCCGGACATGTTTGCTGCAGATGATCTCCTCCCCGCCTCCCCACACGTGCCCTCTTTGGGTCTTGCATGTTCTGGTTTCGTTCGCATGTGAGAACGTTACTCTCAGGGCAGTGGAAGAACCACTAGGAAGGACACTGGGCCTCAGGCCAGGCTCTGTGACTGCCACCCACACACTCAGATCCTTGGGGCTTGGTTTCCTTATCTGTCAAAGACAGAAGATAACCTTGCTTTGCCAGCTCATGGGGTGGGGTGAGGTGACAAGAGATGGCGTGGGTACCCCACTGCATTGGTCCAGGGCCACAGCCAGGGCTGCGTTCAAAAAGGGGGGGAGGAGCAGGTGTCAGGCTGCTTCCAGGTGGGTCACCTCCCGAGCCAGGGAGCAAGCAGACCTCAGTGGGCACTACCAACGTCACAGAGACACAGACGGGGATGTGACTCCTCATGGACTCCTGAGGTGGCTGGCCAAATGCGGCCACGGAGAGAGGCGGCCCCACCAGCACAGGAGCCCTGGGCTCTCAGTTTATACTCCCTTGGGCCATCATCTGCCCAAAGGTCACAGAGACACCCTTGCTCTAAGAAGTTCCCTGCTTCTTTGTTCTGTTTTGGTTGTGCACAGAGGGCAGAGCCTCCCGGGCGTCTCCCATGCCAGGTGGCCTCAGAGCCAAGAGGCGCCGGGGCCTGGGACCCTTCATCCGACCGCCACCACCCCCAGCTCCATTCTCTGCCCTGCTCAACACCCCTGCCACAGCCTGCCCCTCGGCACGTGTTTACAGAACTGAGGAGCTCACTGCTCATCTGATCTGTCCGTGTGACCTCTGCCCGCAAGGAGTCACAGTCCTGACGGAAAGGGAAACAGACAGGCAGACAGATGACCAGCTGCTCTGCTGCGAAGCAGTGTGGAGCAAGTCCACCTCGGGGCCGCGTGGTGAGGCAGGTTCAGCGGGAGGCCCTGACTCCTGAACGAGAGCGACGCTCTGGGCTTGGCCAGACACCGTCCCCAGTTTCCTGTGGCTGGCAGCCACACTGATGGGAGAGAGGAGAGCACAGCAGGCAGGGAAAAAAAAAAAAAAATCCTGCATTGGAAACAGGGCCACTCAGCCGCACTAACGGGAGAGCAACGAGGCGAGCAGGGAACACTGCACCCCCGGCACCTCTGGGAGCAGGGCTGCGAAGTCAGGCTGGATGCTTGGCTGAGCGCTCTCTCCCCGGAGCTCCTGCCTCCCGGCCCAGGCGCTCCACCTTCCCCGGGGGCCCAGAGTCCCTGTGCTCAGGTGCACCAGACTCAGTGTGCCCAGCCCCTTAGAGGGGCCAGGCAGGACCAGGCCTGGGTGTCAAACCTGGGGCCCGCGCCCTGCCCTGCAACTACCTTGCTGAGTGACCCTGAGCAAGTCATTACCCTCGTCTGGTCTTCACTGTCTCCACTGTGAAGTGGGGATCATGAGCTCAGGGTCTCCCTGGGCTGAGAGGCGATGAGGTGCCAAGGGCACAAAAGCTCTGCAAACGGCAGGTGCCATTTCACGGCCCTCGCCCTTGTCACCGTCATCATCAGGCAAGAGGGCAGGTGTACAAAAGCCCCGTGGCCAGATGCCCGGGTTAGAACCCTGGCCCTTCCGCCTTCTACCCAGGGGACCTTGAGCAAGTCACTTAACCTCTCTCTCTGTCTCAGTTTCCCCACTTGTTCAATAAAAATAACAGTCTCACCTCACAGGGTGGACCCTGTGTGACCCTGGGCTGGCCCCTTTCCTGAGCCTTCG